CTCATCTGCATCTTGTATTTGAAAACTATTTCTTATTTTTGCATATCTTCTGTTCCAACTTTAACTAGTTTTTTTACAGCATTTTTCTCTTCTTTCTTTAATACTTTTTCTTTTCTTTATTTCTTTTCTTCTTTTATTTAGCCAAAATACTTAAAAATTGTTATATCTGGTTGGTTTTAATTAGGCTGCCTTCATTTCTTTTTCTGTCACAAATGTAATTATTATTGTTCTTCTTTGATTTCTGTTTCTGTTTAATGAGATGTATACTGATTTTGCATTTTTGCTTCTTAAACAGCATAGTAGTAAAACTTTTGAAGCATTGCTTGGCAGCTCTATTATTTTTGCTATATACTGACTTTGCTTTTGTCTTGCTTCATAATTTTCTTCTCTTTTTATTACTTTTACTAGTTTGTTACTGTTAACTGGTATGGACCATGATGTGTCTTCTTCTTCTGATTCTTCTACTTGAACTATTGCAAGAGCCTTGTATTTGAATCTCTTGATTCTTGTTATGTATGCTTTTTTGAACCTTCTGCACATATATTCAATCTCTTTCTTGTTTATATCTGCTAGTAGATTTCAGATTGTTATATATTTATGTTTCTGTATTTCTTCTTTCTCAGTATCTGTTTGATCTTCTATTAGTTTTTTTTTGCTTTCTTGCCACTTATATTTTTTTTTCTCAAGTTTTGATATATTGTTTATGTTTTTCTTTTTCTCTTCTTGTTTATTATTTCTTCTTCTGTGATTATTCTGTACCAATCACTTTCTTTTTTATTAATTCTTTGTATTGCCTCACTTCTGCTTTTATCCATAGATTTCCTCTTTTTAAGACTTTTTCAATATTTTTGACATACTCATTGTTTTTTAGTAACTATCTGGTAAAGTTTGTATGTTCTTTTTTGGTCTTTTCACATACATTATATGCTGGTATGTTTGCAAGTAGGCTGTTGTTTTGATTGCAGTTTTTTTTGCTTGATGCCCATATGCTTTCTTTGAGTAGTACTCCTACTACATCAATTTTTTTTTTGTTTTTTTTTTGTTTTTTTTTGTTTTTTTTTCTTTTGTCATTGATCCCTATCTTGATTCTTTCCTGTTTATTTCTATGTTATCTTGTTCTTGTTTTCTTTTCTGTTCTTTATATTCTTCTCTATAGATGAATAATTTGGCTTCTACTTAGCTATTATTTGTTTGTTTTACCTTTATACTTAATTTATTTCTTGCAGTTTCAATGTTTGCTTGTAGACTTTTGTTGGCATCTTTATCTTTTTCTTTCTTTTTTTTTGTCTTTATTTCAGCTCTTCTTGCCTTTTATTCATCTTATTTGTCTGTTGTTGTTGTTTTTTTTTTCTATACTTTTTCTATCTTGGTACTGCTCTACAAAATTCAGCTTCTTTCCAAGTTGCTTTCTTTCTGCTTTTTCTAATATTTCTTTTGTTATTTGCAGAAGTGCTACTTTATTTGGGTCTTGTCTTGTAAGTGCTGCAACAATATTATCTTCTCTACTAGGTATTGCATATGCCTTGCTTGCTTTATTGAAAAAGATTTTATTATACATATTATTTATTACCTCATATGCCCTTCTTGTAAAGATTGCATTAAGGCTTCTTCTGTATTCTTCTGGCAGACTTTTGTTAATGTTGCATAATCATTTTCTATATGTTTCTATATCATATATTTTATCTAGATTGAACTAGTTTGATGTATATGTTTGTTTGTTTATTTTGCTTGTTCTATTGCAACTTCTTGTATAACTTGAGGGATCTATGATATAAGGTTCTGGCAATTTTCCAATTTTTTTAAATAATTTTCTATCTTTCATCAAAAGAATTCTTTATATGCTGTTTTTCACTGTTTTTACAGTTTCTTTTCTATATTTTCTATTAAACTATATGTAATTTTTGCTGTTCTGTCTTTTTTGTTAGTACCTCAAGTCTTGTTTTCTAGTCTAGTTGTTGAGTTTTTCTGAGTTTTGCTTTTTGGAAATTTTGGTTAAGGGATCTACAAAGGAGAGTTGGTTTGCTCTACAACTTTAAATTAAACAGCAAGAAAGAATTACTTAATAAAAAAAATACTTTTATATATAAGCAAGCTCCATTTCTACACTATAGAAAAAATATATAAATTTCTGATTTTGTTTATTATAAGGATTATTATTTTTTGTTCTTTTTAAAAACGATTTACCAATTAACTATTCTTTTTTTAGTTTTAAAAGAAGATTAGACTATTATTTGGTTAGTATTTCTTTTAAATTTTTTTGTTTAGTACTATTATTATAAAAATTAGTTTTATATTTTTTATCTAATAAACTGTTATTATATATATTTATTTTAATTCTTATATTATTATTTTTTATTTTTGATCATATTATTTGTTATTACTTTTTTTTTTTAAGAAGATCTCTTTGGTCTTTTGACTTTTATTAATACTTTTTTCATAATATGTTTTTTTTATCTTTACTTTTTTTTACTATTCTAAAAGTCTTTAAACATTTTTAGAATCTGTTATATTTCTTAACAATCAGAGTTATTATTTTGCAAATATTATCAGATAGTATGTGGCTTTTGTATATCATCAAACTATAAGATAGCTTATGTTCTATTAAGTTTATTATATGACATCCTAGGTCTCTGGTTTTACAATATAAGAAATAATGTTTTATAAAGATTTATTATATAAAAAGTATATAATTAGCTATATATATAACTTTTTTATATTACTTATTTAAAAAGTTTGTTTAAAAATTTCTTATTAAATATTATACTTAACATTTTTGCTTAGATGTTTTATTTTAAATTCTCTAAACTTACAACTTGTATTAATATTATTAGGTCATGTTTAAATTATTGTCTCAACTTTAAAACTATTTTATTTTTAAGATAAATTTCTTAAAACTTTTTACATTTATTTTTATAATTGACTTAGTATTATTATATCTAAATCAATACTTATAATCAGGACTAATTATTAAAATACTGTGTCTTTATAAAATTTACTTAAACTCTAATATTTACTTTATAACATATTTCTAGTACTTTAGAATATCTCTGCTTTTTTTTCAAATTCTCAATTCTGATAATTTAGTAAAACTACAGTTTATCTTTTGGTATATTAAATTAGTTGAAATTCTTTTTTTTTAACAATTTTAAGAATCTGATTAATAATAATTCCATTTAAAAGTTCTTGTTTGTCTAAAAACTAAACAGTAATATCTATTTTTAGTAGTCTATTCTTTATAGTAATACTGTTAAAGTTTTGTATTATCTTTTTATTTAGGAGTTTTCAAATAAGTTTCTTGCTTTTTAATTTCTATAAATTTATATAATTATAAGAACTTATTATAAATTTGTATTACCTAATATCAGTTTGTATTGCTTTATATAATTAGTTATATAGATACTTATAATCTGCTAACTATACTAATATAATCACAATTACAAATATCTTAATCTAATTATTAAAAACAATTATTATAATACAAATATTATATAAGTAATTATTTAAATTTTTATTGTTAATAGATTTTGAACACCCAACTTATTACTTAAAGGTTAATAATTTATCTACTTCACTAAGTCACTATATTCTTTTATTTGTTATTACTTGCTCTTTATTTATATTATTTGCTATTATATTTATAATATTTTCAGATATATTAATTTTGATTTCTTTTATTGATTTTGAAAAACTTATATTTTTTTATTTTTATTTCTAATTATTTATCCTATATTTTTAAGAAAAACTTCTTTCAATACTTGTTTTTCTTTTAGTTATTTTTAGTAATATCTTTTTTATCTGTCACTAAATTTGAAAATTTTTTTAATTTTTTTCTATTATTTAAAAAAACTATTTTTGTTTTTTTGTGTTTTAGAACTCTGTAAAGGATCTTTTTCTTGAAACAAAGGCAAGAACTCTTGTTTTATAACCAGTTTTGTCTTATTGTTTGCTCTTATTTTTAACAAAAAAATTACTCTGCTTCAAACTTTATGTTTAAAAAAAATATATATAAACCTGAATTAAAAAGTTTTTATAAGATTATGTTATTTTAAACATGTAATATATTTTCTGACAAATAAGTAATTCGTGATATATAAGCTACTGTCACATATGTAACAAATAACTTGTTTTTTTGTAAAATTAAATACAAAAAAAAATATATATATATAATTTTAAAAGTACAAAAAATTGTTATTTTGCAAAATTTGTCCATAACAATATTATATTAAAATTTCATGGTAAATCTTCTGTTGGTATTAATTTCGTTACAGATATAGTTATTTTTATACATGTTTTTTTATTCATAACGATTTAGAATTTCGATTAGTTTCGATTAACCAATAAATTTTAACTATATCACGGAATGATCTACAAAAATTGGCCAATCATGATGAAAGCCCTCTATGTGTAGCAACCCATCCAATCACGTGAACAATCAAGATATTGTTCATGGCAAATCTTATATATAACGATAATGAATGACACGTATAAATATATTATTTATCCTATAAGTATACACAATTTTCAGTTTGTGTGGCGCAAAATTTGGTTCTTTTTTTTTTTTTTTTACTTTCTGCTATAGATAATATACCAGGAGGGTTTTTATCAGAAACGTTGCTGCATAATTTGCAGCATAACTTGGCCACTAGTGCTTGGGAATAGTCAATAAGACACCGGCTGTACGAATTCGTAAGTTCCACTTAGAAAATAAGGGATCCCGATGTGCCCATATGTTGTAAAGCTCTTTATATAATCAGAAAATTTCTAAATCTGTAGGTAACCTCTAAAAGTTTATACTATCGACAATAAGCCATTGTACAGCTATATAAAAACTAAAATATTTGTCAGCACAAGTTATTTATATATATTTGTCGGTCTCTACTTGTAAATATATATCTTTGCCTTGCAACTTCAATATATGTATATATATATATTAAAAGAAAAAAAAGGAGACTTCATAATCTAAAATCAAATACTTTACTTTATTACCTCAGTAGGAAAATATGGGACAGAGTCTTTCCTCTTCAACAAACAACCAAGATCAAGATGGAGATGTTATAATGGTTGACGATTCAGAGACAAGCGTTGAGGGTGCTAATGGTTCAGAATACACATATAATAGTCAAACTGGTCCCACGACGTCTTTACGACGGCCACGTCTACAATCCAACGTAGCCGTTTCCGAAAATCGGACTCAACCTCCACAATCTTCAACTTCAACACAAAATGGCTCACCTAGGGTTTTGCGCATGACACCGGCTAGACGCAGGCGACAGCTTTCCAATCTTTATCCATTTTTTCCTTCCGCAACAACTTCCAATCAAACACAAGTTCCACTTAGCAGACCACTCACCCGTCTTCAACGACTTCATCACAATTCAGTTGATGATGTGTCGTTAACACCCAGACAAACAGATGCAATATCTCCCAATATGATACGACGAAGTCGCACAAGATCTTCTAGCTATAATGGGCACGATGCTGATACGTTGAATGGGTTAGATGCTAATAATTCCAATAATCGCCATTCGTTGCCAACAGTAGAAACAGTGTTTGACGTGCGGCGTCCTCGATCTAATTCAGTGGACGTAATCCTGAATGGAAATTTGGATGAGGATATGAGATCAAGTCTTCGTGTCTCTGATCGCCCGCGTCGATCTAGTACTAATCGCGGATCATCGTCTCGTCCTTATTCATCGTATACATCATTACCCAATGCATCCGATACTAGCCCAAATTCATCCACTGCTGGTACTCAAACAGATTCTTCGACAGCATCTCCACAACGTTTGAGACGAAGGCTAACTAGAATTTCTGCACGAAGATTATTTAATGTGGGGGGGGCTGATTCTGAAAGCAATAATAATTCTAATAACAACATCGAAGATAATGATGCAGAAAACCAGGTTCTAGGCCGTTTATTATCTATGGCAGCGGCGGCAACTGCGCGATCGCTTGTTGAAAGCCAAGAAAATGCGGTAATTGAAGCCGAACGCGCTGCCAGTGAGGGTCATGATGGAAGTTTTGAAAGTTTCTTGGCTGCTTTACAGAGAAGACGCCGTGAAGCTTCTAATAGACCTTCAAATCAGACATCATCTTCGACATCTGAAGAACAAGCTTCATCTGATGGAAATACATCTAATTCACAGTCATCTCAACCAATGTCATTTTTTCGCTTGTTTCGATTTGGTGGGCCTCGTGCTTCTTCATCACAACAAAACCCAACTACTGAAACCATGTCAGATCAGTCTTCATCTACAACAGTAAATGAACTTCCTAATAATGAAAGTAATGGACCACATATGGTTCCTGTTATCATTATTGGCATCCGAAGTGTTCCTCCCAGGGAAGACCCTACGAGTACTCTTCCTCAATCGCAACAGCCCGAAAACAATAGCTCGACTAATGACACACGGTATTCATCTGGAAATCGATCTACCAGAGCTCGTTCTTCTTTAGCTTCAAATAGAAATATGTCTGGATCTACCGCATCCACTGGAACTCAAACACCTCCTGCACGTTCATGGATTATTTACGTTTTAGGTGGTACATATCCTTCTACCCATCCTCTCCTAACTACTCCATCGTTATTTTCTGATAATCCCACTTATGAAGATATGGTGCTGTTATCGTCTCTTATTGGACCAGCTCGACCTCCAACTACTACACAAAGTGAGATAGATGCTAACTTACCTGTCGCATTATATAATGAGAGTATTGGTGGTCTTAGTGAATATACCCTTTTGGGCAATGCCGAAAAGTGCCAAGTCTGTTTGTGCGATTATGTTACAGACGAAGAAGTAAGGGTTCTGAATTGTCGACATGGGTTTCATCGGGAATGCATTGACAAGGTTGGTTATTTGTAAAGAGCAAAAATATACAATTTTTTTTTTCATTTTTTTGCAACTACGAATTCTAAATGATTTTTTTTTTTTTTGTTAGTGGCTCACTGAGGGATCTAATAAATGTCCTATCTGCAGAGGTATAGGTGTTCCATCTCGTGAAAATGAAGTCAACAATAATAATTCTATTCCAACTACTACATCAGGGCTAGGGCCCATGGGCCCTTTCTTTTAGGATAGTGTTTAGACAAGGATTCTAGCGGTCATCTTGACTATTTGTGGTGTATGATTATTCAGATTTTGCTTTTCAGAGAATTTATGGAAATATTAGTGCCTCATTTTGTATATTGTGATTGACATCATTGTTTTCAATGGACTGGTGGTATAAAAATTTAACCCGTTTTTATAATTGATTAGCATTGTATGGACTATATTCTTGGATCTATCATTCTTTTTACAAAGTTTGTAGGTCAATTCTTGATTTCTATATTTGTATATTTTTTTTTATATGCGAGTTGCACTTTGCAATTTTTGTAGTTTTCATCAAAAAAGAAAAAAAAAAAAAATTTGAAACTGTCATGATGAAAAAAAAAAAGCATATAAATGTTACAACTCGTCTTTATAACTCCCCAAATTTTTACATATATACCATAATAGGTACGATTTTTATGAATATTAAAAAATCTATAAATTATCGATTTTTTTATGTAATATTGTTCTGACATCATTAATAAGTAGAAATTAATAATGATAATTATATAAACCATTTTTTTTCTTTGGACTTGTAAATTGTGAACTCGGTTTATTATGGAACGTCATTAAGATGGCGAATAATAACATCAATGTCTTTTGAATCCTTCTTTAGTGTTTCAATATCATGAACTATTCCTGTTTGTTCAGTGTCAAGAACCTAAGTATGACGAATAAAGTGAGATAGTTATTGATGGCTCAAACAACCAAGAAACATAAAACTTTTACCTTTATGATATTTTCTAATTGATTATCATTTACTGCATTAAATTTATGAGTAACTGGAGGTTCTCGAACTCCCCATTGTAGTTTTGTTACATTATATTGTGTCTTGAGCGTTTCAAGTTTTCTTGACGACCTTTGCAGCTGCTGCTTTATATCTTCCAATCGCCCTTTTAAAGCTTCTTCATCGGACCGAATTAGTGTTCCACTTAATCGCAACACTTGAATTCGCCTCATAAGCTGTCGAAGTAAAACCATTTAACTTATACACTCATAAATACAATTAATATTTCATTACCAACCTTAATTACCCTCTGCGTCAATTCAATATGTTTTCGTTTACGATCTTCTATCCTTACCAACGTTTCTAAATTATGCTTACGCTTCATATCTTCAAGTTTAGCTCCATACTCCTATTAGGAATTAACGTCAACAATGCAAATATTTATGAAAATATTTTAATTTCGAATTATTAATACCTTAAATTTTATATTAGCTTTGGTTGTTACTTCCTCTTGAACAGCAAGTCGTTTTTTAATATCCTCAAATCCACAGACACGAACCGGAACCAAACTATTAACAAAAATCACTTGAGTATATTATTAATGTAAAAACTGTTGTATAGACAATTAGACTTGCATTGTTCTATCTGGATTATTAGCCTGGGCTTCGTTCCAAAGTGCCTGTGACATGCTAGGAGGTGGGGTATAAAATTGAACTTCAGCTGGATGAACCATATTATAAAAGTAACTCTAAAAAAATTCGCAAAAATTAAATTCATTGATAATATAGCATATATGTAACAAGAATAACGTCTACTAATTACTTGGAATCGACAGTCTATACTTTCAGGACTCCAAGCACTAATTAGTCGAGATAATTCTTCATATGGTGTTAATTGTTGAGCTACGATAATAGAAGTTTTTTGTTTAAAAAACAAAAAAAATTGTACACACAATTAAATTAAATAAAAATATCCATAAGCATACATGTTTGTGATTGTGAGGTAATAGTTGATCCGACTTGGTTGGACGAACTGGACATCCCAATGTTAGAATTTCCAGCTGCTACAATTACCGGCGAAAACAGCTGCTAGTAAGTTAAGCAATGTATATAGAAAAGAAACGGCATCCTTTAAAATTACGTATAATCTTACCCGTAGATGCTACTGGCAACATGGATCGCCCAAGATTTCCACCAATTGATGCGGTTGGTTGTGATCCTACACCAAAGATGCTTCCAAATGCATTTGAGGTGGGTTGCTGTCCTACACCACCAGTTCCAAATAATCCTATGTTTGAAGGTGCGGATTGTGTTCCACCACTCAACCCAAAAAGAGAGGTTTGGGTGGTCTGAGTACCAGCACCAAATCCACCAAACGCTAAAGGCTTTGATGTGGCCTGTTGCGAAAGTCCAAATTGACCGAAAGCAGGTGATTGAGCTGTTGCACCAAAGTTACTTGTGCTTGGCATTGAAGGTTGGGAGAAATTTCCTGCTGCAAATCCAAATTGAGTGCTTGTTTGTGGGTTAGCTGCAAGCCCAAATCCTGGTGTAGGATTGGTCTGTTGTGTGCCAAAGCCACCTCCGAAGCCTAGATTGTAAATGAAACACCAATAAGTTAACTGCTGCCCATGTTTTTGGACTCTTTATAGTCCACTAAATCAAAATAGCTGACATTCCAAAGCTACAAGTTTCCAGAGCCTACCTGTTGTATTACCAAAAGCACCAAAAGCAGTACCTGCCGACGTTGTAACAGCATTGAAACTAAAAGGAGCACTTGACACAGAATTTGCAATTCCAAATCCTGTGCTCGCAGACGCACTAGGTCCAAACTTATTTTGAAATGACATTTCGATGAAACAGTGATAGGGTGTTTTCAACTCTTATTTGTAACCGCGCGATAGACCAACCAAATTACAGAATTATTATATTTACGTGTTCTATATGTTTGACCCCCTAATTGTAATAAAAAATGTTAGAAATAATGCCGGTAACTTGTTATTTATACATTTTAAAGAGTTTTTTTAAGAATGTAATGCTTAAAGTTTGAATCCGTTTTACTAAATAGATTTTTTTTGGAATTTTCAATTTTACTTATGTATGTTTGACTGTTCAAAGCTTTTTTAAAATGTTCAAGAATTTAATATTAAATAAAAGATTAAACCAGATTATTATAATAAAGTTTTGATAAATTGAGTATTATGTTTAATATATAATTTTTTTTTAAGTAGTCATGCTAGTACTTTATTAAGATTCTTGAAACTACTTTTGCAATTACAGTATATAGAATTATCTAACAACCAAGTCTAGCATCACCCGGCCATCCTAATGGTACCTAAGTGCAATCTGTTACATTACTTTAAACAGAAGTAGTTGCTTGTTTGACTACTTAAAATTCATAATGAAAGGGTTTTTACTCTTTCATAACAAGTTTCAACTATTTTTTTTCAATTCATTTTTTTCTTTTTTTTTGTTTATTTCTTTACTTCTTCTATATATCTTTTGTTAATTTATCTTTTTTTTTTTTTTTTGGTGTTAAGGTAACTTTTTTGATCTTTTGACTTTTATTAATCACTTATTGGTATTATGGTTCAATAAACTACTACAGAAGTGTGTACAATTGGTTACACATGTAATTTTGCTATATTACCTATTTAAAAAATCCACCTAAAGGTTTTCTACCAATTGTCATATTTAACATCTCTGCTTGGGTGTTCTACTTTAAACCCTCTGAACCTGTAATCTGTGTTAACTTACTGAATCATACTCAAATATTCAGATCATCATCTTAATCTTAGGACTAATTTATCTTCAAGATAAACCTTTCAGAGCCTTTTGTACTTATTTTTATAGTTAATCTAAGTATTACTATAGCAGAACCAACATTTGCAGTCAGGGTTTAATTATTAAATTATTATACTTTTGTAGAGTTTACTTAGATCTTAGCATTTACTTTATAGCATAATTCCTGTACTTTAGTATATTTCTGAATTTTATTAGATTTTTAATTCAAATGGTCTATATAGAATTATGATTAATTCATCAGTATATTAGGTTGGTCTAATATCTTTTTCCTTCAGTTTGTTCTGATAGCTTAGTTGGTAGTATCTTTAAGACTTCTAATCTGAAAGTTCTTGCCTATCTGATTACTAAGACCTAGGTATTTATTTTCTTGAACTAACCTTTATAGTAGCATTATCAAAGATCCAACTACTTTTCTATTCAGATTTTCTTAAATAGACTTTTTGTTATTTAATTTTAATAAATTTACATAACTACAAGAACTTATCTAGTGTTTGCATTGTCTAATTACCAGTTTGCATTCTTTTGTGTAACTATAGACTTTGTCTCAAAGGACAATGTTAATTGACTTACACAAATGCTTCATGACCTGCTAGTTATACTAGTGCGACTGCTATTACAGATATAGTATCTTAATCTAATCATTAGTAACAGTTGCTATAATACAAATATTATATAGGTGATTATTCAAATTTTGGTCATAGATAGGATTTGAATATTCAATCTACCACTTAGAATATTGACAACCTAACCACTTCACTAGATCACTATATCCTTAATTTATTTTTTTTTTTTATTCAAATTATATATATATATATATATATATAAAGGCTATATTTTGTGATAATTATTTTATTAATATATATTAAGATTAGTTATTACAACAGTCAATCATATATGCACCTTTTAATTACCTATTTAAATAGTTATATTTATGATTTATTTAAACTTTTTAATCATTTGCTTTATTAATTATTTAATTATTATAAATCTTCTATATATATTTAATCAAGTATACTATTTAAGCAATATAGTACTTTTTTTTTTTAAATTAGTATTTAAGTCATTACATATTTTATAACATGTTTCCTGTTAGTAAGACTTAAGAGATCTTTCTTGTTAACTATTTATTTATTTTATTTTTATTTTTTTTTGTTAAGATAACTTCTTTGGTTTTTTGACTTTTATTAATAACTTATTGGTAATATAATTCTATGAACCACTACAGAAGAGAGTACAATTGACTATATATATAACTTTTTTATATTACTTATTTAAAGAGTTTGCTCAAAGATTCTTTACTAATTGCTATATCTAACATTTTTGCTTGAATGTTTTACTTTAAACTCTCTAAACCTGTAACTTGTATTAACTTACTGGATCATATCCAGATACTCAAACTATCATCTCAATCTTAGGACTAATTTATTCTTAAGATAAATCTTTCAGAGTTTTCTGTATCTATTTTTACAACTAATCTAGATATTGCTATAACAAAACCAATACTTATGATCAAAGTTATATCATTTAACTATTATATTCTTGTAAAGTTTACACAGATTCTAGCATCTACTTTATAGCATAAGTCTGGTACTTTAGTATATTCTTGCCTTTTGTTCAGCCTTTTATCAAACTTCCAATTTAGATAGTCTGTATAGAACTACAACTAGTTTATTAGTATATTAGGCCAGCTTGATATTCTTTTTTCTAATTCATTCTAGTAGCCTAGTTAGTGATATCTCTGAAACTTTCAACTCAGAGGTTCTTGCCTGTTTAGCTATTATAAATAAGTATTACAACCTTGGTATCTGTTTCTCTAAACTAGTCTTTACAGTAGGATTATCAAAGATCTAGCTATTTTTTTACTTGGATTTTTCTAAATGAACTTTTTGTTATTTAATTTTAACAGATTTATATAGCTGCAAGAACTTATTTAGTGTTTGCACTGCCCAATTTGTTGGTTTGCATTTCTCTGTATAACAAGTTATACAGATGCCTTATGATTTACCAGTTATACTAATGTGATTATCATTACAGATATTCTAATCCAATTATTAGTAACAGTTGCTATAATACAAATATTATATAGATGATTATTCAAATTTTCACTGTTAATGGAATTTGAACATCCAATCAACCACTTGAAGGGTTAACAATCTGACCACTTCACTAGGTTATCATACTTTCTTTTATCTATTTTATAAATTATTAATAAAAACTTATTCTTATAGAGTTTATTTGTATCTTAACATCTATTTTATATAATATAATATTTCTAACACTTTAATATAATCTTATTTTGGGGGTGTGGCAACCTAGTGAAGTGGATAGGTTGTCAACCCCCAAGTGGCAGGTCTAGAGTTCAAATTTCAGTGATGGCAAAAATTTGCAATTCTTTCTATATTACAGCTAACTGTCTTCCGTGATTGGTTGGGATAGGATACCTGTAACCTGTGTCATACCAGCCTGACTGGAAGGTCTAGGCATCCGTGCAACGTTGTACGAAGGAACACAAACTGGTACCGGGCGG